ATTATATAATAACATCTACTGCTTATGTGATTACTATACCTATGTTTAAACCTTTACTTCACCAGTTTTAGGGACTGAGCTGCAACCCAGGTATATGCCCTGACTGGGAATTGAACCATGATGTTGTCATGTTTTTATTTGACAATCTAAGGGAAAAGAGGTCAGTGCCCCTGACTAAATTGCATATCAGGTACTGCATGTTTTAAAAATTATTGTTGCACATCAGTGTGCCTGCCACGCACACTGGTTGAAAATCGCTGTGTTAGACAATCACCTCATTCTTACCTTTTTCAAAACTAAACTAGCCGAAACCGGTTTGGCTCAGTGGATAGAGCGTCGGCCTGCGGACTGAAAGGTCCCGGGTTTGATTCCGGTCAAGGGCATGTACCTGGGTTGCAGGCACATCCCCAGTAGGAGATGTGCAGGAGGCAGCTGATCAATGTTTCCCTCTCATCAATGTTTCTAGCTCTCTATCTCTCTCCCTTCCTCTCTGTAATAAATCAATAAAATATATTAAAAAAAACTAAACTAAACTAAACCCTCCAACACATGCACACATACATACAGTCCCTCTCTCTAAACCCTCCAACACATGCACACATACATATAGTCCCTCTCTCTCTCATTTTCTATCTCTCTCAGACTTCCTCTTGCTTTTCCTTCTCAATAAGGGAAGTAAAATTCACTGAACAGTCTACTAGTTACTTTCAAAAATATTATCTCATTTACTCCTTCCAAAACTTAATGAAGTGTTATGAACTACAGTGGGGCCTTGACTTACGAGTTTAATTCATTCCGAGACCGAGCTCGTTAAGGAGCTCGTTAACTCAAATTACTCTATCAATTCAATGCAAAAATCGGCTGAGAGACAGCCGGTGTCTCAAAAAACTCGTTAGTTGGGACACTTGTAAGTCAAGGCCCCCCTGTATATTATGCAGATAAGGAAACATAATCAGATAAAGTAACTAATTAGCTCAAGATTTATCAGCTGGAGTCAGAATTTGAACCCAGGTCTGACTCTTTCCTGTATAGCACATGCCTAGCTACACTACAGGACTCTAGTTCTAGGGTGTGGACCTTAAGCACAGAGATGGGGGACACAGAGGGAGTGACATTTGAGTTCAGTTCTGTGAAAACATTTGTTAATCCTTTATTTTACAGAGGTGAATGTCACTGCCTACTCTCAAGGAGTTTATAAGAGGCATGTATACCCTAAAACCCGACCATGTAATAATGGACATGGAAAGAGAAGTACCGAAGCAGGAGTAGTATAGAGGAAGAACTGACTCATTTTCTAATGGAAGGGACAGGGAGAAAGGTGAGGGGAATAGCTGTAAAGAAGTTTTCCACAGGAGATGATACTTAAACTGGGTCTTGAAGGTTAAGATGGAAGAGTTTATAGAATATGGAATATATGGTGAGGTATGGTGAAGGTTAAAAAGGTGTCTTAGAAATGATAGGTAGTTGGCTATTATCAGAAGAGAATATTTATTTAGTCAGCAAGTGCTTACTGAGTGCCTACTACGGGTCAGACACTGTGTGAGGTACTAGAGATAAAGTAAAGAACAAGAGAGTTCATGGAACATACCAGGGTGTGTTGGGGACGGATGTTATTTATACAAGGAGGAAAAGAAGCAAACCTGATAGGCCTTGCTGCCAAAATAGACAGGCTGCGTTTTCTCCCGTAGTTGCGAGTGCACAGTGGGAGCACGGGAAGCAGGGCTCTGAGGTGGTAGAGCTGGTCCACAGCGCTCCTGCAGCAGTGTGGAGGGTGGCATGAGGGGAGTCAGGGCAGGCAGGAAGACCAGTAAGAGCCCAGCACTGTATTCTAGATGAGAGAGGAAAAGGATATGTTATAACAATATCTTGGAAATAAAATGGACAGCCCTTAGTGGTTAAAATAGAAAATGATTAAAGGAGACTCCCAGGTTTGAGGTTTAGTGGCTGGGTGGATGGAAGTATTTGGATATGATAAAGAGTTTGAGGTACACGTAGAATACTTCAAACTCTTTATCATATGCAAACACTCCCATTATTTTTTAAAAACATGATTTAATCACTTAACATCAGCAGAGAACACCACTGTAGGACAAAGTCAAAAGAATATTTTGCTAAATATTTTATTTTCTTTCACATTATGATCTTATTCAGGGATTTTCCTCCCTCCGAAGTTCAACATGGTGTCAAAGGATAGCTGAGAGAGGCTGTTAAGATTTACCTTTCAGTAGATTAGAAAGAGTCCATTTTCATAAAACATCTCCTTTATTTGTTATATCAGGTACAAGACACAGTGCATACCATCATGAGAATTTTATTGCATAATTTTCTCACTTCTGTAACAGAAAGTACTGAACTTGGAAGGGAAGGGTGCTAAAATTCTGATACAAGAGCAAATATTTATTTGCTATTTCAGTGCTAAAATTTTTCTATTCCTAGAATGGTGGCAAAGTTCTTTTTAAAAAAAATTATTATTATTATCATCATTTATTTATTTATTTTTCTTAATCCTCACCCGAGGATATCTTTCCATTGATTTTTAGAGAGAGTGGGAGGGAGAGGGAGAAACAGAGAGAAACATTGATGTGAGAGAGACACATCGATTTGTTGTCTCCTGCACGCACCCCGAGGCCTGGGAACCTGCTACCGAGGTATGTGCCCTTGAATGGAATTGAACCCAGGTCCCTTCAGTCTGCAGGCCAGTGCTCTGTCCACTGAGCCAAACTGGCTAGGGCTAAACATTTTATTGATTTTAGAGAGGAAGGGAGGGAGAGAGAAAACATTGATTAACAAATAACTTATTTATGCATTCATTGGTTGATTCTTGTAAGTGCCCTGACCAGAGATCGAACCCACAACCTTGGCATATTGGACGGTGCTCTAACAAACTGAGCTACCCTGCCAGGGATTCACAAAGTTATAATTTAAAATATTTAAAAGATTATATAAGGATATGTATTTTTAGGGCTTATATGAAACTCATTAAAAGTAGTATTTTAGTGCCATAGATACTGTAGTTTATAGTTCAAGACATAGAATTTAGTCAGCCTGCATTAGTGTTTATTAAGATGAAACACAGTCTGTTGTGACACTGCAACTTTTTTTGCATGTAAAAGCTCTATTTTTTTTTTTTTTTTAATATTGAGAGAGAGAGAGGAGGGAGAAGGAAAAAGAAAGAGAAAGAACGATTTGAAAGCAGAACATCCATCAGCTGCCTCCTGCACACTAGGGATTAAGCCCACAACCCAGGCATGTGCCTTGACCAGGGATTGAACCAGCCACCTTTTGGTGCACCAAACGATGCCCATCCATGGAGTCACACCACCCAGGGTCATAAGCTTCATTTTAATCATAAAGCTGCAGAAGGTTCTTGGTACAGGGAAACCTAAGATAAAAAGCAGCAGTGTCCAATTCCACTCTTCCCTTTCTCTGTCTCACTCCTCTGAAGGAATGTTTTAAAAATCATTCTTCTGGTAGTTCCCTAATTTTAGCCCATTTGGTATAGCACTACGTTTTAGCTCATCAATTTCAGGTAACATCCAGTTATGAAAAATAAAGATTTGTCTGATCTCTCTTCTCTGTTCTGTTTACCACTGTTTAGTGTTCTATTGTTTTTTAATTGCCATATGTTTATTTTTCTAACAAATAATATAGTATTTGTTCATCAACTTTTGATAGGCTACATGCCAAGCTGTTGTGACAAAAAAAGATTTTAAGTAGAGTGACTTACATAAGTGGAAGTTTATTTGTCTCCCCCATAATAGCCAAAGATAGCCCAAGGTTGGATGGGTGAATAGCTTTGCCTCATGACCTGTCAAATCTGCCTTCCTCATCAAGTAGTTTTCATCTCATGGTCAAAGTGTACTGCCATTTCCCAGGGGAAGAATCTAAAGCAAGTGACTCTCTTTAAAGGAGGCGACCTGAGAGATCACACATCATATTGACTTATATTCCATTGGCCAAAACTTAGTATAATGTTCACAACACAGCAAGGGAGGCTGAGAAATGTAGCTGTATGTTCAGCTAAAATTTCAGAAGTTTCTATGCCTAAGACAAAGAAGGAAGAATGGATTTTAAAGGTCAACTAGAATTTTCTAATCTAGTTAGTATCTCTAAACTCGTTACTTTATATGATGAGGGTTCTCATACTTTTACCATTTCTTCTGCTTTTCTTTTTGGCCTTCTTTATATATTATTAGCTATATACAGTTTTGTTTTAAATTATGAAATTACTAATGTTTACATTCTGTTCTGAGACCACAGCCAAGTTTTTGTTTCTGAAAGTTTACACACACACACACACACACACACACACACACACACACTGTTTACTTACAGATCAAAAAAGTGAGCTATTACTACGGTTCCATCTCCTTAGGTCCAGGCTCATGATCTCTGGGCCACTGGAAAGGATACACATTTTTCTAACATCATGACAAATGAATAGTTTTTTTAAAAAAATAATATTTATAGATTGATTAAAAGCAAGGCATTTATTTCTAAGGTCTGCATTTACGCACTGACTTATTAGATCAATAAGAGAAGATGCAGTGAATGTGGTTAGTTTCCAGGGAGCTTTCAGTCACTTCAGGAAATGAGATCTTCGTATTTAATCATTTTATTGTGACCAGGAACTACTCAGTCAGTTTTACAGATGAGTGAAATCTTAGTTCTCGAAGGGCTTAGACCAGTTTGTAAGCTCCAGTTGATCCAAGGTGAAGTAATTCTCTCCTAGCCTCTGATGTCTCAATATGAGAGGAGAGCAATATCTTCGGACCAAAATAAAAATCTCTTTGAAATATTTAGGAATAGAAGGGATGACTAGTGAGAGACTCTGGGCTCTTCAAGGTGGTCTCATTGTCTTTGGCAAAAGAGTTCTCATCATTTCAGACCCTGTTGTTTTCCCAAACAAGGACAGCAATGTGGGACACGAATTCCTGCCCTTGAGGAATTTATAATGAAGTAGAAGAGATTAAAATAGACTTTAGTTCAAATTCCAGCTCTGTCATCTACTGGCCACATGACCTCAAGCAAGCTATTTTATGAACCTTAGTTTCTGCTGGAACACACAATCCCCAAATCCCAATGGCTTAAAACACTGAAAATTTATTTCTTGCTTGTAATGCATGTTCATCATCTGTTAGATGGGAACTCTGCTCCATGTCTCCTTGCTCCAGGGGTCATGGTTAATGGAGCGGCCACCATCTAATTATAGAACGCTGCTGGTCACTGTTGGAGCGGGAAAGGAAGACCTGGAGAGTCTCACATCAACAACTGAAGTACTCTGGCTCAGAAGTGACACCAATTATCATTTCTGTTCACAACTTAGTGCTCAGAACTAGTGACGTGGTCTCACTCAACCACAGGGGGTTGGCCAGGAAATACATTCCTGCCATGTTCCTGGAAAATGGGAGAGCCAGAAATATTGGGCAAATAGTACTAAGACTACTACATATAGGAATGCCTAGCTCAGGGTTGATGTGAGGATTAAATAATATATGCACACATACACAGTCATCTAGTGCAGGTGCTCAAAATTGATTATCATTAACAATATCAGAGTAAGATGTACACTTGCAAAATATTTGAATGACAATATTAAGTGCCTTGTATATTAGAACATAAGTGTGCAAATATAAGTTGATATTGTTATTACCTAGTAGATATTAGAAGATACAGCATTAGAGCTTGTTTCAATGTTAGAGTAGATCTTTTATTTTTTTAATATATATTTTTATTTTTTTCTAAATATATTGTTATTGATTTCAGAGAGGAAGGGAAAGGGAGAGAAAGATAGAAACATCAATGATGAAAGAGAATCATTGATTGACTGCCTCCTGCACACCCACACTGGGGATCGAGCCCACAACCCGGGCATGTGCCCCAACCTGGAATTGAACCATGACCTCCCGGTTCATAAGTCAATGCTCAACCACTGAGCTACGCCAGCTGGCCAATATATATATTTATTGATTTGAGAGAGAGAGGAAGGGAAAGGGAGAAACACATAGAAACATCAATTGGCTGTCTCTTGCATGCCTCCTACTGGGGATGTGCCCTGACCTGGAATTGAACTGGCAACCTCTTGGTGCCTAGGTCAATACTCAGCCACTGAGCCACAACTGCCCAGTATAGAGCTAGGTCTTTATAGTTAGTTATCTGTCAAGAAATGATAGTTGAAGTTGTAAGAATAGGTGAGATCTGCAAGAAAGAGATTAAGTAGTGAGAAGTACAGAGGATACTAAGAGGTAGCTCTGGAGCATAAGCACAATTTGAAAATCAGAAGGAAGTATCACAAGAGATAGAGAAGCAATTTTTGGA